AACCCTGGGGGACTCCATAACAAATAACCAACGTCTGCCATTTGTGTTGAGATGCCTCAAAGTATATCATATTGAAACTATTGTAACCTCGTGTCCTCGGATATCTGATCACGTGATGACATTTTGAAAAAAATATCGCCCCATATCCTCAAGTAAATAAATCGTATGTGAGAAGACTTTTACGCAAGTTTTCTTTTTCATATTATTAATAAGTTGGTTGGTTGGTTGTTTTACGCCGTACTCGGCAATATTCCAGCTATATGACGGCAGTCTGTAAATAATCGAGTCTGGACCAGACAATCCAGTGATTGATATAATGAGCATCGATCTACGCAATTGGGATCAATGACCTTCATCAGCGATCCTGACCCCCCGATCCCGTTAGTCGTCTCCTACGACAAGCATAGTCACCTTTTACGGTACCCATGGGTTGCTGAAGACCTATTCTACCCCGGATCTTCGCGGGTCTCATATTAGGTAGTGTTTCCTCTGTTAGATCATTTTTAAAATGTGGCAATGTTCTTTAAAATAGTAGTAAACATGTGATAGGTTAGATTTTCGTTTCATATTTTATCTTAAACATTTAAACTATTATTTTTTTTATTTCATGATTGTCGTCTGTTGCTCCTATCCATTGAATCGGTATGTTAAGAGATTAAGAAAAGATATCACCCAAGTGGCTTGTGTGGGCGGAAATAACACGATCGGCCAATATGCAATCACAATAACTCATAAACGACGACTTCGTATTACAGATAATGGACTATGAAGAAATCCCATAGCTATAACCACCTCACATAATCCGAAGCAAATAAATTCTTTCATTGATACTTACGTTGGCGTTACAGTTGCTAAGCAACTGCGTATTACGCAGTTAACCACTAGGCCCGTGTGCAAAAGGACTTCCTGCTATGGCCTTGCATAACTACCTTATATATTAGCACTCGCACCGACTCGCTTCACCTCGGTCACGACTGGGAGGAGACGAATGGAAACGATTTTCCCTCATGTGACTGTCACGTGACACAATACTCAAGTTAGGCTGTTGTAGATGCTCAGTGTTCCAACTTGTTTTATTTTCAAGTCCAAGTTACATTTTTTGTCTTAACCCTAAACTAAAATGTTATGAAAATTACCCTGTTATTGCGAACTATTTGCGATGGGACTTGACACGGGACAGCGCGAATCTGTGAAAACACAACTGAAGTGCTTCCCGAGGTTGACGGTCGCTCGAAGTGAGCTGAGATGTGTCAGGTACGATGGGTGTCTTCAGAGGAGGGGGAATCGAATTTGGGAGAGGGGGGGGGGGGGGGGGGGGGGGTGCTGTCCCCTCCCCCGGCTGGGTACGGCACTGCACATGAACCGTGTGTGAACGTTACCAAAACCCTATATCAATTGCTATATCATTATCTGTTTATGATAAAGCAATACCCGGGGTTAGACTTAAATAAACTGTCGGTCTGCCAAAATTACGGCTTAAAACAACAAAATGGTCCAGTACACAGCTAACCCTTAGCCCCTTCTACTCAGTGGATTTTTTTCTTAATGTATTTTTCTTATCCTAAAATCTTAACCATGTTTTAGTTTTACTTCATAGTAGATACACACAAACACGTTTCTGTTCCAACTTCAAAGTGCTCCCATTTGAGAAACACATAAACCTGTTTGATAACATTTAACCGTAAATAAATATGTGAGTGTCCTGCCCTGCTCTTCTGGTCCCGTCTCTTGGGATGTTCGTGTAGAAGTTCATTGATACAGAAGCCCTTTCTTTGTGTCATAAGGTATTTAACCAATTATGTGTTTGATAGGCATAACTTAGAAGCTGACGGATGACAAAGTAGACACAATTTATGGATAACTTCTTTATTTACTGTAAAGGCGACGTTTCCGAAAGAAACCGAAACGTCGCCTTTAATACAGTAAAGTATTTAACGTGTGTTATTTGGGCAATTTTCATCCACCTCATTATTAAAGACCGAATTTACATAAACAAGGTGTTCAGTAAATTATTTTGGTTTTTTTTGTGCAAATGGCAAGCACCTCTCATCACAAAGTGATGCTAAAGGAATAAAGCCTGAATGTGCAATAACAAATTATTCAATAAATTATGTCGTTATGTGTGCAAATTGCAAGCACCTCTCATCGCGAAAGGAAACACAAAATGTGGTATGAAACAATCAGCATGATCTCAGTGAGAACAAACATGACAAATTAATTAGAGTTACCATGATGACATCTGTCAATGTTTTAACTACCATGTTGACGTGAAGACATACTAGGGAGTAGTACATTCTTCGAACTGGTAGCATATCGCCTGGATCCAACTTTGCGTACAGGCCCGTGAAGATCCGGGGTAGAATAGGTATTCAGTGACCCTTTGCTGTTTCTAATAGAGCCTATTTTAGTAAGCCTGCTATAAATCAGAGGGCTGACGTCTTTAGGAAAAATATTTCTTTTCTACCAATTTGGTTTTGGAACATCTATAGGAAAGGCAAGTCTGTTAAGATTTATCAGAACAACGTCATTCCACTCCGTTCGTCTACCGTTACGCCGAGATACGATGGGACGAAAGCAGAATATATCACCATGGGAGTAACGTAACCGAATTCATCAGTTGATTCATCTTAACACTGCACAACCTTTAAAAAAAGGTTCAGTCCCATTAGAGGAGGGGGTAGGTAAGGGGTTGCGGCCCCAACTGTTTCCCACCAATATAATTTCATCAACAAATTTCACAATGAAAATTTTGTTCTGCTTGCTTATTCAAGTGCGTCGAGTTACGTATACTTTTAAGATGCATGTGTATAAATACATATATGTGGCTGAGAACAGGTGTATGCATAAGCTTCTATTTACCTATACGTATGCATTGTTTAATTTTGCATATTACGACTCTGAAGGTTGTGTGATTTTAGTTCTTTGCGAAGACCGGACACCGCGTGAACACAGACCTGCGATGGTCATTTTAAGGGCGTTTTCGTCAACTACTGTTGTCGTCATACCTTATTCTCTTCGCCAAGCCGGCCTGTTACAACAAAATGTTGTTCTTGTCCGAATAATTGTCTTTGTCAAATGAAAACTAAACAAGGAGGAAAAATCACTAAACATAAAATTCAACGTGTCGGGTTAATTTGAAGTTAATTGCCTTTTCAAAATATAACTTGCAAATGTTTAATCTGGACAGACAAATTTTCTTTATCGAATGCAGAAATACAGGAAGAATCATAATTAAAAATCTTATTGATTTGTGGTTTATTTCCCTTTAAGTAAAACCTGAAATAAGTAAATACAAGCAAAAACATGCTCAAGTATGACTTTGTTAATTTAATAAATACAAACTTTGATTTGTGCTTTATCATTTTTCATTTATTTAAAAAAAAAACACAGAGACAGTTGGGATAATAGTCTGAGGTCGGGATCAGAAGTTTTTGCTCATACGTGACATAAGGCTGGGTTAGATGTCTAATAAATTCCCCCCATCGTTCGGGTCGGTCATCTCCCACTTGTCAGACTCCCCATTTGTCAGACTCCCCATTTGTCAGACAGCTTAAAACAACAACCTTTATGGTTGAGGGCACATCAGGTGTGTGATATAATCCCTTAAATCCGAATAGACTAGTACTGTCGTCAACAACTGTCTGAAAACTGGTGCAAAATAAAACAAAATTTATACAAATCAGTGTTTATTCCATCATCTAATCACGTGTCTTATATAAAATATCTACTAATTTCAGTAAGAATAACTAGGATGAAACAACAACCTGTGAAAAATTAAAAGATGAAGTGAAAACAAACATAATTACAGTTTAACCAAGCCGTTTGGCAATGTCTGGGTCATAACATTATGAGTGAAGGGGTGCGTGGCAGTTAAAAAAATATTCCACCGTCTGACAACTGAGTGTCTGACAAATGGGAGGACCCATTCGAGTCAGTAATTACTGCTGTTTTAACGATTTATTTACAGGGTGATGAATAATGTTTGGTTTTGTCAGATAAATAATCCGGTATTAATTTTCGTGTTGATACAACATGATACAAGCATAAACATAAAATAGAAATATCAAAAGATAAAAAAAACTGTCGAACTCATAGCGACGGAATTCAGTCAAAAATTCCATTTCCACACTAAACTGCCCGGTAAAAGAAAACATACATCCATGTTTGTTGGTGGCTAAAAGCTAAACAAGCAAGAAATGTTTTTTCCAAGGTGAGGTATTTGTTACCGGTATCAAAGTTGTGTTTTTTTTACCTTTTGACGAACACCCTGCATCATGACTTTTTGCTATTGATTAAACACATGCTCATGATATAGATTTCTTAGTATATAATGTTTTTTTCGCTTCTATTTATTTGATACAGCATATAAAGACATTACGCTTAGTGGTTGATTTTGTTGATATGAATCCTACCTACTGAACGCATTCGTAATATCTTCAGTGTTTCCTTGTTTCTGTCCATGGGGATATTTCCGAACAAAACCTATACATTTTTGTCTTATTTGTTAATTGAGTAACATAAACCCGCCCGTATCCTCGCACAGTAATCTATCCGTAAACTACAATCGCCAGATTGTTAATTGCACGTCTTGTCCATTATCTTCCCATAAATCACGTCTTCGGCGACGCTTGATTGTCCCTCGAAGCTAATTACGTGCTCATTCAAACCCTATTATATCACAATGTAATTATCCGCATTACCCCCGAACCAAGTCAAGCCCTGATGACGTGTCGCTGAGCTTCTTAGATCCAAACAGTTTATCGAGACTAAATCCAAACGTACTTAATATCGCATAACTACATGCATTATATGATTACAAGAAAACAATGCTTGTAATTAAAGATAATCGCTTTAAAAAGGACGTTATTCAAGAGGGATTCTTGATCTAGGATTTTCGATAGCCATTTTATTCGTGGTCAACAGCCCGTTAAATCACGTGACGAAGGGCTATATAAGTAAAATATAACTACCGGGTTAATATCATTACGTCGATAGATAATACATTTACTGTTGGTACCAAGTGGAACCGATTTCTAACTGTAAAGGGATTTGGAGAACAGGTTACTGTGTGTGAAAATGAAGGAAGGAGTGACTGAAACGCTTGGCGTTTTAACTGTGGACATCGATATTCATTATGATTTGGATATGACCAAGTTCCCGGGTGTTGACGACCCTGATTGTGTTCAGGAGCCTACGCTACTGTTACCGTCTCAGAAGATGAACGAAGCCTGGTTTGATGCGATTACACAATATGATGACCCCGAGTCTGACGAAGAGGAGTGCGACGTTGACGACAGTGACACCGAACCTGGCGACGATGGATGCGTTTTCTGTGACGCTCTGGTGTCTGGCGAAGACAATGACAGCGATCCTATTACAACAAAGCCATGTTACTCAACGCACAATTCGCCGCGTATGTTGTACTTTTTCAACGGTAAGATTTGCCTTTATTTTGTGTTTTAAAAACTAAAAGTAGGATTTATGGTTAAGTGCAACACTGACAGGAAACATTCATTAATTTAAATCAAAATGTCTATGCATTGAATGCAGCACAATACAAAAGCACCCCACCCCAGAAAAGTAGCTATATGTTGATGCGGAAGGACGACACTTTGCATGCGCCATGATGTAAACTGCAGGTCAAGAAACCATACACCAGGTTTGATGGTGGCTAAAAATTAAACAAACAAGAAATGTTTTTACGATGGTGATGTATTTGATACGGGTGTCATATTTCTGTTTTGGACCTTAAGTTTGCATTGTTTCGGTGACTGTTTTCAGCTTAGTAACGTTCTGATAATGTTTGTAATTATTTGGTGAAGTCCAATCCAGGTGTATACTTTCTTTACCCCTTCAGTTTAGTTCGAATGGTATCTGATGTAGATTGTGCTGACTTAATATTTTCTTCAAATTGTAACGTTATTTTATAGTCAATAGTGGTGGGTGTTAAAATGGAATACATATGTTTATTTCTGAAGATCAAAATAAAATAATGTCGTTTTGATTTGCTCATATAAGTTTCAGACCAGTTTATTATGATGACAGTCTGTCACTAATTGATCAAAAGAATGATGGTTGGTTGGTTTGTTGTTTAACACCGCACTCAGCAATATTCCAGCTATATGACGGCGGTCTGGAAATAATCGAGTCTGGACCACACGATCGAGGGATTAATATCATGAGCATCGATCCACTCAATTGGGATCGATGACCTGCATCAACCAAGTCAGCGAGCCTGACCACCCAATCCCGTTAGTCGCCTTTTACGACAAGCATAGTCGCCTTTTACGGCAAGCATGGGTTGCTGAAGACCTATTCTATATACACCGGAATCTTCACGGGTCCAAAAGAATGATGACTCGTTATATGTGAATACATTAGGTCAGTGGCGGGTGCTATCGGTAGGTTGGATATGCATACCCTGATTTTCGGCGATCCAGTCATATACTAGTAATTTTCACCGCTGTCGTACCTATTACGCCTAATTGAATCTGTTTCGGGGGATAATCGAGACTGGGGATATCTGGTATTTAAATCATCTTTGTCCTTTACAGATTCCCATTTGATTGAATATGAGACTGTGGAGATCATGGAAGGTGAACATCCAACAGACTCAATACATCTAGGACACGAAGGTCAAGGACAGGAATTCGAGTGTACAACTGAAGAAAAGACATATTGGTTGAATAACTCTAACCAAGACAATTGTATCCAACCCTCAGAACATGAGCCAGCTGAGTGTGTTATTACCGACTTACAAAACACTTCCTACACACAGCTTACTCCCTGTCAGTATGTGTCGGATTCAAATTCGTCACATCAGTCTCAATATATGGACACATGCATAACGGAACAGCTTCCTCTCTTCATTGACTTAGTGGACGAGTTATCTCCCTTTCTCTCCCCAAGCGGCCATGTTAGATCACGGAAGGGAGATAACTCCATGGACCAGTCGGGCAGTGACGATGAATTTAGATACTTTCTTGCATCCGATGAGGGTTTGATGACAATAGACACGTCTAATACATCAATTAGTCACAAGAACTGTAAAAACGCCACAATATTTCCCAGAGGATCATAATGGGGAACAGGATAGTCACTATTTGTGATCGAGAATAAAGGGGACGCAAATTATTCTTATTCACGTGAAGAACTGCCTCACACGAATCATGGGTGCGCACAGATACCCTTATCCTCTCCCAAGATGCACTCTTCTTTGTGGATTCCGGGGTAGAAACATTCCCCAGAACACCAAGCATGTTGTACGAGTCGACATATTGAGGTCAGGATTGAAACTCCGAATGGCTTGGCCGAATGAATGACATCGTACCCCACCGCCCCAACATCTGTGTCAACAACTGGTTTGTCTGGACCAGGTTCGATTATTCATTGGCCGCCATGAAATGTCAGTGCCTGTAGCGTAAAACAACATCCACACGCTCACACCAAGACGTACTAGATTTCTTACTTACGAATATATAAATAAATATATTCATTGTGATATTCCAAGGAAACACCGTGCAGTGATCAAAATCCTTTTTGAGTTCTGCATTCATCTATATACATGTATTGTCATTTTCACATATTTGTTATACGTTTTTATTTATGAGTATCAATTACATGTATTATACAGAGAACATATTTATTATCATCTTGATATTTGTTTGAAAATCATGCTATTTATTGAAATAAACATTATATTTTCGTTACAATAACGTCTCCCCTGCGGATCATATTTTTATATACTTTTTACTTTTTCGGGTTTATTTTATAGATTGATTTATGTACTGATTTGTTTTTAATCATCTTAAAGTTTGATTTAGATCTGTAAACACAACTCAATAGAAGTTAAGAACACCCAATTCTTTCATATTACTAGACCCGTGAAGATCCGGGGAGAAATAGGTCTTCAGGAACCCATGCTTGCCGTTAAAGGCGACTATGCTTGTCGTAAAGACGCGACTAACTGGATCGGGTGGTCAGACTCGCTGACTTGGTTGATGCATGTCATCGATCCCCATTGCGTGGATCGATGTTCATGATGTCAATCACTGGATTGTCTGGTCCAGACTCGATTATTTACAGACCGCCGTCATATAGCTGGAATACTGCTGAGTGCGGCGTTAAACAACAAACCAACAAACAAATCATATTACTAGTTAATCGGTCATTGCATGAGTAATATAGTAACATAAAAGAATCTGGAGTTCTTTAACTGTGCCTTGCAGCTTTACTATAGTAATATAAAATAGTCGGGTGTTCTTTAACTGGACTTGGTTGATGAACTATAGTGACATGTATCATATATATTTATGGAATCGATGCACCCCTTATACCGCTGATAGCGATCTGAGTGTAACGAGATTCGGCTCTGATAACAACACAAACTTTATTTTAATTGACTTTTGTGAGGCAGGGACACTCGGGGCGAGTCACACCCGACTTGCCCTCGGGGTCCAACTGAAAAGGGACAACTGATAAGGATCCTGATTTGTGTTACGGTGTCACTAAACACGAACCAAATAACATGAGTAAACTTTTTCTTCTGGCATCAATGATATATGGATATTTTCAATTTTTATCCAAAAAAATTTAAAACATACTATCAGTTATTAAACATCATATGATGTTAAAGTTATGTCAATAGAATTCAATGCAGTATCCAGACCCTTTGATGTTTTCGGGTTGAATTGAAACTATGCAATAATTTATGACAAAGACAAATAGCAACGCTTGCTCTCCCACGCTATAATTGACAAGAGCATCAATGATAGTCGCTTGATTGTTCGGCGAGATCTTTTGTCGTTTAATTTAGCATTAGCATGTAACGGACATTTTGCTGGCTTTGTTAATCGTGATAGCTGAAATTCACAAGTTCAGCTGGCAGAGTTTCAGCGAGATAAGCATAGTTTTCATTGCGTAATAAAAAGATGGTTTCTCGGGTGATTGACATACAGCGTGTTGAATGACGGCCATGGGGATATTTAGTTAGAAAGATAGCTAGATAGTTATTATCGCCTTCGTTGTGATGATGTCGTCGCCGCTACTTCAACCCCTCTTCGTCGACATCAACATCACCTACGAACTGGATATGTCCAAGTTCCCAGGTCTGGATGACCCACAACATATGTACCAGCCTGCTCTGTTGATCGAATCGCCAGAGTCCCGCGTCTCGTGGATCTCCGTGTTGTCTGAGCATGGCGACGTTGCAGAAGACGCCTGGGCAACGTCGGATGTCGACGACGATATTGGCTACACATATTCCGGACACAGCCACAGCATCGAAGAGGATTTGTACACATTGATCGGTAAGTACATGAAATACTGGTACTATGTAAGGAATTGAACCTATTTTAGTGTTTCCTTAGCCCTAATGCTATGAGACAAAAATATAACTCTTGTCAAATTCAGACTTTATTCAGCATATCCGGACGGACCTACCAACAGCAGTAAAGTGATTGTTGGTTTGCTCCGCTGTCGGCAGTATGCAAGCTAATCACGGGGCTGGGAATAATCTAACGCCTCCGTGGTCTAGTGGATAGAGCGTCTGATCGGAGAGCGGAAGGTCGGTGGTTCGATCCCCGGCTGCGTCATATCAAAATATATTCATTGTTACCCTGCCTGGCGTTTCGCAATAAGGGGCTGAACCAAGAAATGGTCGGCTTGGAGTCAGTATACTGTGTCTGAGTGGGGTATTCATGTTAAACTGCGGCATGGTATCTCAGTGGGCTAGCACCATAAACTCGGCATTAGTCCGGACCAGTACAAGCAGCCACACAGACATACACACACATGCAATACTCCTGAAAGTGACGTTTACCCCAATTTCACCTCATCCCATTAAGGCAAAAAAGCCAAGGCCCGGTGAGGTTGAAAGGGGTTTGACGTCATGGAGTTATTGCGCTTTTTGTATCGACGTGTATGCACGTGTGTGGCTGTTTGTAGTAGTCCGGACGTTACCAATTTTGTAATGTCAGCCCACTGATATTCGCAGTTTAGCATGACACCCTACTCAGACAAAGTATACTGACTCCGAGTCGACCAGTCATTGTTTAGCTCCTTAAAGCCGAGTACCAGACAGGGTAACAACAAGTACCACCTTTTAACCTTTTGGTATGACGGGGATCGACCCCGGACCTTCCGCTCTACCACTAGACCACGGAGGCCGTCGCCGAGCGCTTGGCGGGGCAACAACCCGTACCGTCTTTTGGTATGATACGCCCGATGATCGAACCACCGTTGGCTGGGAGTCAGAATAAAGAGACACGAAATTTCACCCCACCTCACATCACCTGTAATAATACAGTTTGGACCAAGAAAACCAGTGGCATATTATTGGTGGACACACTCGGGTGCGATCACACACACAAAACCAGACCATACATTATACTACCCGATCCACATTTTAGTGAAATTGTTTGTTTGATTATTTGTTCTTTAACGCCGCACTCAATATTCAAGCAATATGACGGCAGTTGGTTAATACTCGAGTCTGGACCAGACAATCCAGTGATTGACGTCATGAGCATTGCACTACGCATTTGGGATACGATGACATGCATCAACCAAGTCTGCGAGCCTGACCACCCGATCCCGTTAGTGGCCTCTTGCGACAAACTGGAGATTTATTTTAAAATAAAATTAAAATTAAAATAGGTTTATTGATAACTTGTGACGAGACAGGAATTCAGATTGAAATAACAAAAATGAAACTTCGATGAAAATTTCATTCCCCGAATGCAGGGAAGGATATGGACCTTTTGAATACATGTGCGTAAAACCTCGTATGTTCAATTTTTCAGATTCCTGCAATTTGTCACCTCCAAGCGGCGTCACAAAAAGTCCCCCGAATGACGTCATACTTGCCCTGCCCTCTGATGACGAACTGGACCTACTGGAGATGGTATATGATTCTCCCAATACGGATGTCCATATGCTGAATAGGACAGGATGTTTCGACAGTGTGTACCACCAAGACAATTACTATCTTAGCAACGATCACCGTGGGAAACAGTGGCGACACACAGAATCCTCTTGTGACGACGTTGCAGCGTTGTTCCGGGAACCCTGTGCCACAGAAGGTGTGTGTCAGTCTTGCAGCATGTATGCTGCTTACCTTGGAACTTGTCTTCATCACCTACGTCTTGATGATGAAATGACAAACGTGACCCCAAGAATGTCATCAGATGAATGCGGAACGCGAAGTCGGAGAGAGTCGTAGGGCCGAACCTCACTGAATGTCTGTCGTTTGTGGGGATACAACGATCTGTTTTGCTCCTGCGATTTTGGAATGCTGTGCAGTTTTATATGCAGTTTATATATCGAGCGGTTTTGCTCCAGCGATTTTGAATTGCTGTGTAAACATATATACCGTTTTATTGTTATTTTTATGTTAAATATGTTGAATAAATATTTTGATTTATGTCTTTTTTTCATTTATTTTCTTTGTAAAAAGAAATCCCTATAAGAAGGGTGAATCTTCAACGTGACGTGAACTCTCACGAACCCGGATAAAATGACGATTAGTTGGTTACAAGGTGCGAGTAACTGAAAGGGGTTTTATTTTGTAGTCACCATTACATCTACGTGTACACTATCGGACAAAAGAAAGTATACACCCAGGTTCGACATCTTCCCAAAGTAAGGGAGTTAACAGTCTATAAAAGTCTAGTTTCCATCCTTGCCGAACTAGGCTGAAATTATGGAGTTGTATTTGGCTGACTTACGAGTCCATGCATAGTCCCATCAAAATCGACATCCGGCTCGTCAACTGTTGTGCAGATTACGTCGATTGCAGGATTTGTAAAGCATGTGTACCGCCAACTCGGCGTCAACAAATATCCAAAGCCTTTCATGTTTCTAATCAAGATGCCCGAGGGATTTGATGCACTTCGCGAAGTAAGGCTCGTTTTATTTCAATACAGATCTTTATCATAGATCTGAACGTCTTGTCTGGGCGCCCCCATTTGTTTGAAGCAAATGCAAGTGATATGAAAGTTGGAATCTGATTGGTCAGTGGGAGCGAGGCACATAACTCGTCATAGCCACTGGTGGCGCTACGACCGAGCCCAGAGGTGAGGTGAGGTGAAATTGGGTTTAACGTCGCGTCCAAGATTATTGCACTTATATAGCGACGTGCATGTACGAGTATGTGTTTGTGTGGCTGCTTGTACTAGTCCGAACTGATGCCGATTTATAGTGCTAGCTCACTGAGATACCATGCCGCAGTTTAACATGAATACCCCACTCAGACACAGTATACTGACTCCGAGCCGAACAGTCCTTGTTTTAGCCCCTTAATGCCGAGCGCCAGACAGGGTAACAACAAGTACCATCTTTTAACGTCTTTTGGTATGACGCGGCCCGGGATCGAACCCCGGACCTTCCGCTCTCCGGGCGGACGCTCTACCACAGGACCACGGAGGCGGTCGACCGAGCCCAGAAATTCAAACCTTGTTCGGCAAGGGTGGAAACTGGACTTTTACGGTCATCTAACTCCCTTACCTCGGGAAGATGATCTTAGATAAAACAAACACGAAATGGTTATTCGATGGTGATGTATTTGTTTGTCGAGTTTTGGCGACTGTTTCCAGCCAAGTAACGTTTTGGTGACATTTGTACGTTTTTTGGTCAAATCAAATTTTCTTTTGCCCGACAGTTTTTAATCACGGCGAAAGAAATGAGTGATTGATAGCATGAGCACTGATCCTCGCAGTCGGGTCACGATGACCCACAATCAGACACACATTGTAACCATCCAATTCTCAATAGTCGGTTCTTGCATGACGCAGTGGTGACATTTCCTGAACAAAAGAGTGAATCTCTTTAGTTGGCACATCTGGTGAATATGTCTTTTCAAGGTGTGAACGAAAACAATAATAGTCTCCCATAATCACGGACGAGATGCTCTAGAAACGGATTTACGTATTGTGTGTCTTCATAATTATCATTGGACACGTGAAGATCCGGGTTAGAATAGGTCTTCGCCAACCCATGCTTGCTGTAAAAGGCGACTATGCTTGTCGTAAGTGGCAACGAACAGGATCGGGTGGTCAGACTCGCTGACTTGGTTGATGCATGTCTTCGTATCCCAAATGCGTGGATCGATGCTCATGCTGTCAACCACTGGATTCGCAGTGCAGAGTTGCGTCCCTTGGGCACGCCAGAAACCTATGATTGTGAGTTCGAATCCCGGTTCGCCCCGATTATGTTTCTAGGTTTGTCTGCACCATACCCGTGCTCGTTGGTTTCACCGAAGTGGTAAACGCCTGAGACCTGCATCACTGTGGGCTTTCCTCCCACATTTAGCTGACACGCCGCGATATAACTGGAATACTGTTAAAAGCGGCGTTAAATCCAACTCACTCACTCACTGATATGTAGACACACTGACTTGATAAACATGACAACGTTGACTTGATATATGCGGAAACGTTAACTTGATATATGTGTACACGTTGTCTTGATACATGAGGGGCGGTCGGGTAGCCTAGTGGTTAAAGCGTTCGCTCGTCACGCCGAAGACCCGGGTTCGATTCCCGACATGGGTACAATGTGTGAAGCCCATTTCTGGTGTCCCCCGCCGTGATATTGCTGGAATATTGCTAAAAACGGCGTAAAACCATACTCACTCACTCACTCTTGATATGTGTCGACACACTGACTTGATAACATGTGGCCATACCTGATCAGATGAATGTGGACTTGAAGTTGTGTAATATGGCTAAGCGCTTTGACCAGATGGAAGTCACATCACATCATACATCTCTCTCTTTGTCTGATTGGTTTGTGTTAATGAAATACCAAGCTCTGTCAAGGGTAAAAATTATAACTTACTTTTGTTTAAATAAAGCACAAGTTAGTCGGACACTTCATGTATGTGTCCAGTAGTACCTTTTTACGTTGGTCATCTTTGGGAGAGACACCATGTTGAGCTTATCGAATTCACCGAGTGAACGTAAGCTGTTGGACAGATGCTGACGAAGACGTCATCGTCAACATATTTTTTGTTTGTTTGTTGTTTAACGCCGCACTCACCAGCTATAACATATGAAGTTTCTCTTTCTAGATGCCAGACAGTTCGAGAATTTTGTGAATTATATATATCAAATAAGTACAGTAAACTACGGTTATAACGAACACGCTTATAACGAACTGACGGATATAACGAACTTACTTTTTGGTCCCGACTACTTGCTGTAGTTATGCTGTATATGTACTTACAACGAGCTACGGTTATAACGAACTAAAATTAGTAGTCCCTTTGAGTTCGTTATAACCGTAGTTTACTGTACTTGTGTTGTTCAAATATGCTCTTTTTTCAACGTCTTTTTTTATATGAGATATCAATATCAACTAAATATGATTCATAGTAATCTTGGTGTCAATAACAATAGCAAAAGTTGTTTGTTTGGTGTGTTGAACGCCACACTCAGCAATCCAGTGATAGACATCATGAGCATCGATCAACGCAACTGGGGTACGATGACATGCATCAACCAAGTCAGCGAGCCTGACCACCCGATCCCGTCAGTCGCCTCTTGCAACAAAAGCATGGGTTGCTGGAAAACAATTCTAACGTTTCACGGATTTAAATATGTAATCGAGAAATCTTGAGTATCTGTCATTCCCGAAGTAGAATCCACGAGCCAACAAATTCTCGTGATTTCTCTAACCTAAACCATGTTATGTTTGATATATAATTTGCATAATGGCCAAACGTTGCGCACTTTTACTTGTTTAAAATGCACATTCAGAACTGCTCAAAATCAGCGGCAACAACAGCATGACTTCATCACAATGGTTTAAACATATAATGAACCACGTCGTTGTGAAAGCGGCGAAAGCTTCACGCCCAAGACCCGTGAAGATCCGGGGTAGAATAGGTCTCCAGCAACCCATACTTGCCGTAAAAGGCGACTATGCTGGTCGTAAGAGGGGACTAACGGGATCGGGTGGTCGGGCTCGCTGACTTGGTTGATACCTGTTATCGGTCCCAATTGCGTGGATCGATGCTCTTGATATTAATCACTGGATTGTCTGGTCCAGACTCGATTATTTACAGACCCCCGTCATAAGGATGGAACATGGCTGAGTGCGGCGTTAAGCAACAAACCAACTTCATGCCCAAAACACGGATCCGAGAACATAATGGGAACAAAACATGAAGCCAAAGTAATGTAGTTGAAATATTGTTAGAATCGGCGTTAACTATCATTACCAAACTTACCATAGAGATAGACTGACCAGGATTTGATGTCCCGTGCTTCCGAAATCCATGGCATTGAGGAGCACAATATATTTACACCATTGTATATGTCGCCATGACCAGGTGATGCGGTCCACATATGAGTCTGATGTCATCATGTCGCGACGGTGTCGTCCGATGCTCATGCTATCAACCACTGGTTTGTGAAGATCCAGGGAAGAATAGGTCTTCAGCAACCAATGCTTTCTGTAAAAGGCGACTGTGCTTGTCGTAAGAGGCGACTGACGGGATCGAGTGGCCACTCGCCCCTTTCTGTAACCTGCAAGAAGACCCGGAATAACACGAATTGCATGATGCATGTCATCGTATCCCAATTGCGTGGATCGATGCTCATGATATTAACCACTGAATTGTCTGGTCCAGACTTGATTATTTACTGTGTTTGAGCAGTGATTCAGTTCAGTTCTTCCACATACACACAAACACACACACACACACATAAAGAATATAATCAGGTGGTCCTTAACTTCATTTGAGCAGTAATGTACGAAGACAGGATGCTGTAACGTGCATAGACAATACAAATTCATCGAACGTTCTCTGTAGGTTTATTGAATAAAACAATATAATAACAAACAACTCAGTAACAGTTTTGTGTAAAACATAAATATTGTGGCACTTATCAACAGTAGAGTCCGGTAACTGTATAATGGTAAATACAGTAACAGGAATGTAGCTGTTCTTTCGTTCACAGCTCTCATTGTCTTCATGATCCTCGGTTTGATTCCAAAGATCTTGAAGTGAGACATACCGATAAACGGCTCGGAAGACGGTCGAGAGACCTGTCCGCCATTTTGGATTTTTTTTGTGCGCTGATACCAAACTCGCTATCACATGGCCGGTTTCGTTTCCGATCATTTGCGTATTTCTCATTGTCCCCAGAAACGTCAGCCTCTCCAAATATCCCTTCTGTCAATACACCTGTAATGTCTGTTAAATCAGATTTGCAAGCATCCGGGTCCGTATCAACGAAGTCAAACACGTGACTTGAGAGTGCTGCGTCTTTGATGACGTCATCAAGCATGACCTTGTAAGTGTCCGAATCTAATGGTCCGCAGCAGCCAGGGCCGGACAGAAGACGAAATGGAGACTCTGAAGAAATAATAGACAGTCATTAAAGTGTTGCATGACAATATTAACATCGATACAAATATGAACCCTATCACGATATGTGAGTGAGTTGAGTGAGTTGGGTTTAACGCCGCTTTTAACATTATTCCAGTTATATCACGGCGTGTCAGCTTAATGTGGGAGTAAAGCCCGAAGTGATGCAGGTCTCAGACGTTTACCACTTCGGTGAAACCCACGAGCACGGGTATGGTGCTGACAAACCTAGAAACATAATCGGGGCGAACCGGGATTCGAACCCACAATCATAGGTTTCTGGCGTGCCCAAGGGACGCAACTCTGCACAGCGAATCGCGGCGCCTTAGACGACTTGGCCACCCGTGCCCCCGGCCGAAATATGGAAATTATTTAACTCAACCACTCCTGTCACATCTCTTGACTTGACTTGAGTTCGGTTTACGTCGCTTTAAACAGTTGTCAGCATGGCGTCAACATGTCTAAGTGAGTGAGTGAGTATGGTTTGACGCCGCTTTTAGCAATATTCCAGCAATATCACGGCGGGGGACACCAGAAATGGGCTTCACACATTGTACCCCAACATGTCTAAGATGTTTACAACTTTGGTGGCCCGTGAAGATCCGGGGTAGAATGTGTCTTCACCAACCCATGCTTGTCGTGAGAGGCGACAAACGGGATCGGATGGTCAGGATCGCTGACTTGGCTGATGCATGTCATCGATCCCAATTGCGTGGATCGATGCTCATGTTGTCAATCACTGGATTGTCTGGTACAGACATGATTACTTACAGACCGACGTCATATAGCTGGAATATTGCTGAGTGCGGCGTTAAACAACAAACAAACAAACAAACAACAACTTTGGTAAAACCAACGAGCACTGATATGGTGCCAACAAACCAAGAATCGTAATTAAGTCGAATCTGGGATTCGAACTCAAGGTCATATCTTGCTGTCACACCTAAGGGAGGCAACTCTGCAAGCTAATTGTGTCCCTCTTTTATTAAGAGTGAGTGAGTGAGTGAGTGAGTGAGTATGGTTTTACGCCGCTTTTAGCAATATTCCAGCAATATCACGGCGGGGGACACCAGAAATGGGCTTCACACATTGTACCCATGTCGGGAATCGAACCCGGGTCTTCTGCGTGACGAGCGAACGCTTTAACCACTAGGCTACCCGACCGCCCCTTTTATCAAGAAAAAAGGTCATATATTTTAGAATTACATGAATAACTTAATGTGATTATAATCAGGATATATGTTAATTATATGTTATTACCCGTTGGGGAGGGTCCATTTTGTTGGAAACGTGTAGATTCGTTCAGGTTGATGACAGCATCACCCGTGACGCGCTTTGCGTCAAAAAGACCGTAGACGTAGTCGCTCCAGTCAGTGGCTATCAACAGAGCAGGCTGGTACATATGTTGTGGGTCATCCAGACCTGGGAACTTGGACATATCCAGCTCGTAGGTGATGTTGGTGTCGATAAACAGCGGTTGAAGAAAGCAGGAAGGAACGTCTTGCATGGTGAGTGACATTGTGACTATTGCTTCACAACTTCACGCGCATTTTACCCCGCCACTCAGCTTGTGTGTCGATTTCAGCTCACGAGGCCTGTCAGTCACTTCGTGGATAACCAGTAGCCAATCACACCAATGTTCGGGTATGTGTTTGCCATTGGGCGTTAATCTGGAGACCACCAAAGCGTTGTCTGCATGTGATGAGAAACAACAAAATGTATACATGTTTATTCCAGATGATGAATTAGTTTATTTTTATATGGCTTAAAATAACATTTAATTCCATTATTGTATTAACTCAGTTTGAAGCGTAAAAATGCAAATTTGAGGAAATTAATATTTATGTGAATTGTTAGGCTGATAAATTGATATTTCTTATAATCACCAGTTCCTTTGAAGATAAAACTTCCACAGAATATACAATTACTTAGGTGCACCTTTGCAATAAATGAATATGTGTGTTTGACTGGTTTAACAGAAATGACGAATAAATCACATTATGTCTCTAACTGATCATTCGAAACTGTTCGGAAGGGGGCCTGTCTAAACTTGCTATCAATATCACGAATATTAAAAATAACGTTTGAAGATTGGGCTGTTACCGAGAGAAAATAGTTTAATGTATTTTTAATTCCACAATATTATTGGTATTACTGGTTATAATTAATGTGGTATAGTTGTACACAAAATAGTACATTAAAACTGCAGAAGGTTTATAAAATCAAAATTGGGATAATCTTATAAATTGACAAGGTCAAAGTTTTATTCGTGATGTACGTGCAGGGTGTTTTATCGATCAAGTCAGCCGATGCACGTGCAACACGAGAGTGACGGATAGAAACGTATTGCCATTCATGGAGAATTCTTCCTCATACAATGATCATGGAGAACCATTGCCACTTTATGCGTCATTCATTTATTATTTCTACAGTTGTATGTGTATAATCATGTATCTGTGTTAGTCACAGGATATTGTGAGAATTGGAAATTAAGAGTTTTGTTTTGGAAAACTATTGTCATGTGATATTGACTAAAATACAGTTCAATGTGTTTCTGATAATGTTATTGTGCCATTAACCATACCGCCGAACCTGTCGCCTATGGCCAGCATAGGTTCCGTGGGATCGATTCGAACCGGGACGGAATCAAGTGGTCATACACTGATTTCAGCAATAGTGTATCATTATCCTGACAGGAGACACATTTATTACACATTTGCAGAAAAGATTCAAGGATTTTGAAGGAATGAGCCAACGTTTTGATATCTGGGCTGTCCTGATAACTCTGCAGGCTATGAGGTTTTTTGGGCAAAGACAATGCCAACGGTACATATTCAAAATTTTGAAGGTTAAAAAACATACAGTCCACACACTGGCTCAGATAAAAACAAATCTGCTGACCAGCGAAGGGTCAGCTAGTGGTGAAAAGAACTGACCCTCCAGAAATTCCACCAGTATATACAAGAACATATACCCGCAAGGCCATTGGTTATGCCGTAAAAGACGACTATTCTTGTCGTAAGAGGCGACTAACGGGAACGGGTGGTCAGGCTCGCTGACTTGGTTGATGATGCATGTTATTGTATCCCAATTGCGTGGATCGATGCTCATGACGTCAATCACTGGATTGTCTGGTCCAGACTTGATTATTTGAATACCGCAGTCATATAGCTGGAATAACGCTGAGTGCGACGTTAAACAACAAAGAAACAAAGAAACATTGGTTGTTAATACCAACATGCCTTCTGGCATACGTCTTGCCACGATGACACGCCGTGTAGCGTCACCGAGCCAGACCGTCCGATCCATTTGGTCGCCTCTTTAGACAAGCAGAGGTTACTGGGGACCTATTCTAACCCGGCATTACTGCGGTCACCTTGCATTAGTAATGAGGGATTATAACTTATTTACTTTCCTCTGCCAACAAGAGAGTGGTGATATTCCAGACTCCTGTTATCAAGTTTTGTGAAGCCGATCTTAGTTGTTTTAGATGATCATCCGGTTGGCGTGTTTCCATTTCGTCTTAATGACGTAACTGAAATTGACAATCAGAGTCCTCTTGAGGAGCCTAACAAATCTATTTCGCGCAAAATTAGTACATGACTGGGCGTTTCGCCGATGCATGCTATGAAAGCTGCCTTCATATTTATTTTAATGTTAGACATTTAATCTTCACAAGAAGGAGCAAGTGACTCATTGAGTCCAAACATTAGTAGATGGTTATAGTCGTGTACCTACGACTCCGGCGTTGATTGTGCTGTCGACCAGGGTTCCGTGCGAAATAACTTGGCGCTACGACTGTCGTAAGTCTATGTTAAGGTATGGGAGTTACGATCACCTTAGCGCTAAGATCGCTTTGTACAACGGCACTCTGATCACCAGCTTCTCATTCACCTGGCCCAAACTTGATTATTTACTTGCTGCCCTGATACGACAAATATTGGTAGCGTTACTAAACAGTAGCGCACTATCCCATATAAATACTATTAAAAAGAAGTAATACAACAACCGATTTTTTTATAGGACTCTAGTTAATCTCATGACGGATTAACTTTAGAGCTATGAAAAAAGGTCATGGCAGATTAACTACAGTCCCATGAAAAACGGCCATGACAGATTAACTATAGTCCTATGAAAACATCTGGTTTTCTTTAACTCCAATTTAGTTGTATAAAATTATTCAGCAGGGACTTAATGCACCAAGGATGTGTTTCGTTCGTACAACAAGAACAATCGTCTACGGTTACATTGTTATTTGGTGAAAGCTGTGCCAGAACAATAGCGAAAAGCATGCTACAGTTGTCAAAAGAGAGCGTTGGACATTCTGTCACGTGTTTCATGGATAATACTGTCATTAGGCTCGCTCATGACAAACCTAAGCCTTGTGAACCCACGGGTTTATCATGCAATTAATACAAGCCATGTGATGTGATGAAAGGCTTGTACAGTGCCATACTCGAGTGACATGAATGCTCTCGAACTCTCATTCTCCAGGGGGGCATGGGTGGCCCAGTCGTCTAAGGCACCGCGGTTCGCTGTGCAGAGTTGCGTCCCCTGGACACGCCAGAAACCTATGATTGTGGGTTCGAATCCCGGTTCACCCCGGTTATGTTTCTAGGTTTGTCAGGACCATACCCGTGCTCGTGGGTTTCACCGAAGTGGTAAACGTCTAAGACCTGCATCACTTCGGGCTTTCCTCCCACATTAAGCTGACACGCCGTGATATAACTGGAATAATGTTAAAAGCGGCGTTGAACCCAACTCACTCACTCACTCACTCACTCACTCATTCTCCAGCAGCCTTGAGCAGCTGGAGTCTTTAGTGATGACAAGTTTGGACAATGGGGAAAGGTTTATTCAAGATATGTAACGTGTGAGGAAAAGTGTTTTACAGACATTTCAATTTAGAGACGCTTTTGAACATTTAATGAGCCAAGCATGTCTAGAAAGTGATAGTTCTTGATTGTCATATATGAGTGAGTGAGATTGGTTTTAGGCAGCCTATAGCAATATTCCAGCAATATCACGGCGGGGGACACCAGAAATGGGCTTCACGCATTGTACCCATGTCGGGATTCGAACCCGGGTCTTCGGTGTGACGAGCGAACGCTTTAACCACCAGGCTACCAAACCACCCCGATTGTCACATTGTCCCGATTGTCAAGAGGCGACTAACGGGATCGGGTGGTCAGGCTCGCAGACTTGATTGATGCATGTCATGTCAATCACTGGATTGTCTGGTCCAGACTCGATTATTTACAGACCGCCGTCAAATAGCTTGAATATTGCTCAGAGCGGTGTTAAACAACAAACACACAAAAAATATGGATATAGATATTATAAAAACAATCTTTAGTGCGTAGTTTACCAATTTCCGTGTCATAGTGCTAGCCCACTGCGATACCGTGCCGGTGTTTATCATGGATACCCCAGTAATAGTATTGTGACTCAGAGACGACCAGTCCTTGTTTTATCAACTTAATGCTGGGCGACAGGCAAGGAGAAGTACCTTATTTTAAAGTCTTTTGGTTGGTTGGTTGGTTTGTTGTTTAACGCCGCACTCAGCAATATTCCAGCTATATGACGGCAGTCTGTAAATAATCGAGTCTGGACCAGACAATCCAGTGATTGATATCATGAGCATCGATCCACGCAATTGGGATCGATGACATGCATCAACCAAGTCAGCGAGCCTGACCACCCGATCCCGTTAGTCGCCTTTTACGACAAGCATAGTCGCCTTTTACGGCAAGCATGGGTTGCTGAAGGCCTATTCTACCCCGGAATCTTCACGGGTCTTAAAGTCTTTTGGTATAACGCGGGCGGGAATCGAACACCGTACCTTCCACTATCCGGGCAGACGCTCCCCAAAAGTACGGAGGCGGTCACGAACAGTAGTATGCCGGATTGATATGTACAGAAGGTTCAGGCGACAAACAATCTTGAAAGGATTGCAAATTGGTCCAAGCCTACTGTAATTTGTTTCCACATACACAAGAATAGTGACCCATGGAGATCCGGGGTAGAATATGTTTTCAGCAACCCATGCTTGCCGTAATAGGCGACTAAGCTTATCTAAGAGGCGGCTAACGGAGTCGGATTCTCAGGCTCGCTGACTTGGTTGATGCATGTCATCGTGTCCCAATTGCGTGGATCGATGCTCATGTTGTCAATCACTGGATTGTCGTCTCCTGACTCGATTATTTACAGACCGCCGTCATATAGCTTGAATATTGCTGAGTGCGGCGTTAAACGTCAAACAAACAAACAAAACTAGAATAGCTCACTTCCTTTATTGAATCTTAACAAACCTGTTACTTCGATATTGCAGGGGTACGGGAGGCCAGTTGTCTCAGGCGCCCTGATTGTACTGAGAGGCGACTAACGGGATCGGATGGCCAGGTTCGGTGACTTGGTTGATCCCCATTGCGTAGATCGATGCTCATCATTGGCGGCTCCAGAGGGGGACCCCATCTCTCATCCCCCACCCTCTTATTTGAAAACCAAATGTCGACTCAATTTTCACGGACCTCCGTAAATGAGTATTACAAACA